GCCGCACTTCCAGAGCTCCTGGCCTGAATCACAGACTCTGAGGGAGCCGGGGTGGGAAGCAACCTCTTACTGAATTCTGTTCCCCTCGTGTGATGTTTCCCATGTATACAAAAGCGCATGAAATAAAATCCATTTAATTCTCACCCAGTAGGTTAGGAACTGTTATTACCTCACTTGACAGGGAAACTGAGGCACAAACTGCCTCGGATCATGCACCTAGTAGATGGTAGAGCAGGGATTTGAACCAAAAGTCAGGATCCAACGTCCAGGTGTGCTTGCGGTCGCCTGGCTCCAAGGTGGTCACCTTCAGTTTCTTCCCACCCAGGGCCTGCATGCAGGCCACTCCCTCTCCACAGGGAAATTCCCCAATCTTGAACCTGAGCTGGCCTTGGTCACCTGAGCTCGTACAAGTGACTTTCTGGAACCTCTGACGCTAAGTCCTGCAGCTTCTGCCCAGACTCTGGGAAACACACCCTGGGAGGACACCAGGAGCCTTGTTACACATCCAACTACCCTGGGACCGCCAGGCAGTAGGGGTTCCAGCTGAGCCCAGTCCTCCAGCATCACCACCAAGGCATGTGAGAGAAGATTCTGGAAGCTTTCAGCCCAGGGGAGAAGCTAGCTCTGTACCACCAAATCACTGCCATCCAGGCCACAAAGAACAGGAGAATTACCCAGCCCAAATCTCTGGCCCACATATCTCCTGGCTGGCGTTCAATAGCACCCACTGATCTCTCTTCAGGAGGGCCATCCTGCTGGCCACCGGGCAACCCTCTCCCTCTACTCTCCACGCAAGCAGCTGCCCTGCTGGGAGGCCTCACCCACGTCCCATCGCCTCCCATGCCCAGGTGGACAGAGCCTTCCCCCGCACGTGGCGCCCAGTCCAGACCCTCACTGTGGTGGTGACCACGCAATCCCATGAGGGCTGGTTGCTGAATCTGTTTCCCCTCCGGGGCGGGGACCCATCCCCCTCCCTCAGCAGCGTCTGGCTCCTCATATGATAGTAAATGCGGGCCAAACACATGAAACAACTCTGTCACAACAGGGTTTAAAGAGAGGCCCTGATACACCTGAGGATGGTTTATGGCTCTAACCAAAGTCAACGCATGACTCCAGACCAGGGTTTCTCAACTTTGGCACCATTGACATTTTGTATTGAAAATTAATTATCAGTGATTGGGGCTGCCCTGTGCATCAGAAGATGTTTAGCAGCGTCCCTGGCTTTGACCCACTCACTAGATGCCAGGAGCACCCTCCCCCCAATTATCACGAGTAAAAATGTCTACAGACATCGCCAAATGTCCCTGGTTGAGAAACACTCACTGCTCTAGACAGTGAGATCTGTGTGCATGCCCACCTTCATCCAGGCTCCCAAAGAGCATGTGATACCTGCCAAAAGTCACCTGCCACTTGCCAAGTACCCCATAGCCACACGCACACCCCGCATGCTCGCCTGCTCCTTGCAAACCTCAGAGTCACCTGCAGTTCCTGCTATTAAGGCTCTTGAGGGAACTCTACAGCTGGGGGTTCCCCTCAGGACATCACGCTGACCATAGGAGGCTGGGAACATGGCCCGAAAAGTCTCCACCCAGGGTCCGAAGGCCCGCCCTCTCAAAGTGGTCAGCGGGGCACCACTTCTAAGCTCTTTACCCCAGAACTGGTTTTTTCTGTCTCTTTACAAACAGGATGGCCGAAGTGTGTTCAAAAACTCAAATGTACTCCCTCATCCCTCTCTGGACACCCCTCAGTGGATCTCCACTGCCCACCAGATGAAGTCCAAACACCCAATCAAGTCTCTGCCACCCTGGAAAGCAGGACACCCCTTGTTAGCAACAACGGCAAAAGTAACAGCAGCCGTGCCCAAGGGTCAAACGCTTATCCCGCGCTACGTGCTGTGTCGAACTCCCCTGACACGTCTCCTCCTCTATTCACTCCCAACTCTAACTCTGCAGAGTGGACAGCCATGCTATTCTCGTTCTACAGACAAGAGAATTAAATCTCAGAAAATGGATGTAACCTGCCCACAGTCACAAAGCAAAGCTCATCAAATGGTGCTGGAAATCAAGCCCCACACTTCTGTACTTAATGGCACAGTGTAGGCTCCATGAGGGTTTGGATCCAACTTAACTACTGCTGTGTGTCCAGTACCTAGAACCGTGCCTGGCAGAGCAGGCATTCAAATAGGGAAGGGGGGAAGGAGGAAGGGGGGAGGGGGGAGGAAGGGAAGTTGGCAGGGCTGAAAGGAGGGAGGGAGGTAGAAGGGGTGGGAGGGTGAGTGGAGGCGGGGTGGCTGTAGAACAGTACCTCTCAAACCTAAGGACCAGGATCACCTGGGAAGCCTGTTAGCTACTGTACTCAGTCCCAACCAACCCAGCGAATGCCAGTCATCCTCAGCCAGTGCAGGGAGAAGGAAGAATTGCTTCTAGTTAACTGAAGTGGGAGAACTACAGCACATGGATTTCAGAAGCCAAAATCCTGTCTGGCGCCCCTCAGAATGAGCTTCAGGAGAAGGTTCCAGTAGCCTAACTTTTAAAGCCCCTCAGGTGTTTCTTATGGTCAGCCAGGCCTGGGGCCGGAAGGTCAGAAGAGAAAGGACCCATCTACTCTCGCACAGCACACCTGTATTTATGGTCCGCGCCCCTGCAGGCCCCACCCTGTCCCAGCTGCAACAGGTCTCTGAGCCACCTGGGAGGCTGAGTGTGGCCAAAGCAAACAAAACTGGGAGGAAAGTTGGCTGCCTCCACGCATTTTCAAAGCAGGGCTTCTGGCTCTGGGCCATCTGAAGCCTCCTCGGCTCCAAAGCCGGGAGCAACCTTTTGGAAAGCCGTGTGACCTCACTCATGATAATAGAAAGCAAATGAAGAATTAGGCCAAGCTACCCAAGTCTGCCTGTGAATGGCCACATTCAGAACCTCATCATAGCGTGGATGAAGGTGTGGGAAACAGGTACTCCCACACCTCACGGGCTTTTCTGGGCTGCTGTCAAACTGCCGAAGTTAAAATACCCTTTAACTCAGAAACCGCACTTACAGGAAGTTGTCCTTTGGATATACCCATAAGGCTATATCAAAGAATAACACATGGACAACCCTCATGAACTGCCAGTGGAAAGGTAAAATGGTGCAGACACTTGAAAAATAGTCTGGCAGTTCCTAAATGATTAAACACAGGGTTGTCACATGACCCAGCAGTTACACTCCTAGGCCTGTGCCCAAGAGAAATGAACACACACATCCACACAAACACCTGTACATTTGTACATCGATGTTCACAGCAGCTCGGTCCTAATCACCCAGAAGTGGAATCGACCCAAACGCCCATCGGTGGATGGATGGGCAAACAAATTGTGGAAAATCCACGTAATGGATTATCATTCAGCCATAAAAAGGGAAGACGTACGGACACACGCCACAACATGGACAAACCTTGAAAACATTATGCCAAGTGGAAGAAGCCAGACGCAAAAGGCCATGATTCTATTTAAAGGAAGTGTCCGAACAGGGAAATCTAGAAAGGCAGAAAGTAGATGAATGGTTGCTCAGGCAGGGGAGGGGGGTGGGGGGCAGCAGGGGATGGCAAATGGGTCCACGATTTCTTTCTGCGGTGATGGAAATGTTCTAAAATGGACTGTGGTGGCGGTGGCTCATACCTGTGAATATACTATAAACCACGGAATTGTTCATTTTAAATGGCTGAAGTGCATGGTATGTGAATTATATAGGAGGGGGAGGAGGGAGAGGAGGAAAAGAGGAAGAAGAATTCACGTATAGTTGCTGCAGCTAAGAGCAAAAGACAGGAACCAGTTCAAGTGTCCCTCTCTAGGGGCTAACCTGCCACACTGCAGCCAGGATGCTACGTGGCTGTGAAAGAAGGCAGATCACCAAGCTGATAACAAACCACCTCCAAGACACTTATTAAACTTAAAGAAGAAATCCAGGTGCAGAGGTGTATGTAGTAGGTACCCATTTGTGTAAAAAAAAAACATGACACGCACATTGAACAAACATAGGGTCGTTCTGGAAGACAAAAAAAAACCTTGATTATGAGCTCGCCTGTGGAGCAGGGGATGGGAGCTGAGGAAGTGAGCCGTTTATGATTTTTTTTGGTTTTCCCCCAAGTGTACATTTTAATTTTTTAATTAAAAAGTAGTCAATAAAAATGCAAATTAAAGCAAGTCTCTGCAACTGAAAACTTGTTAAGTCTCCTTACTTCATTACAAAACAGTCTTAGAAACTTTAGGAACTGAGCCCTGGCTGGTGTGGCTCAGTGGACTGAGTGCAGCCTCAGTCCACTGAGCCACACCAGCCTATGAACCAAAGGGTCACCAGTTTGATTCCCAGTGTAGGGAACATGCCTGCTGGGTTGCAGGCCAGGTCCCAGCAGGGGGCATGCAAAATGCAACCACACACTGATGTCTTTCTCCTTCTCTTCCCCTCTCTAAAATAAAATCTTTAAAAACAAAAAACAAAAAAAACCCCTTAGGAACTGAGTCACTGGCCCAGCCTGCAGAGGGTGAGGAAGGGCAGACAGCTCCACCAGGACTAGAGCTTCCTCTGAAACCTACAGACCCTGCACTGTCCCCATGAACCAAACTAAAAGGCCTCTCACTCCTCAGTTTGCAGTGAAATGAAATGGGTATTCATCTGGCCACCAAGCCAGATAAATGTGAGTTTCCACAAACTCTAGCCTGTTAGCCCTTAAGAGGGCAGAGAGCTTCATGATCAACAGGAACCAAGGGAGCCTGACGCCGCCACACTGAGAGCACCCCCTGCCAGCCCAGGCAAGCTGTCTGACTGTCATTTCCAAGCTGGCCCACGGGGACCTCTGATAGTTTGAAGAAGTTCATTGAACTTCCCCCTCCTGCTCTAAACGAGTGACCCAGACAAAGTGGCCACACGTCCATCTGTAGAAGAAAAGAAGACATCAAACCAACCGCTGCAGTGACAGGCGAAGGCAGGAGGGTGAGAAGATGCACGGGCCCGGACCCAGCATGTACTCACAGAAGCCTTCGATCTTGTCGGCTGTCTTACTCCAGGCCACCTGCCGCGTCTCCATGATCACCTGGACGGTCCTGCGCTCCGGGGTGGACTTGCGGAAGCTGAACACAGTCATCACCGTGCCCAGCTCCAAGGCTCTTTTGATCTGACTCTTCTCATATTCCTGAAGGGCGTCCACATTGACCATGGCGGTCATTGTTGGCCTCTCCAGGGAGGAGGAGGAGTGAGGGAACAAGGAGGCTGGAAGGACAGAATAAAGGAAGGAATTGGTTTCGGTTAACTGAGGGGGATTTAGTTAACAGGACCTGGCCTTCAAGCACCAAAATTCTGTCTCATTCCCCGCAGGATGAGTTTTAGAAGGTTCTAGTTGCAGTGAACTGCTGACCACTCAGAGCTCACACAGCGGTTTAAATAGAAGCACAGGTGTGGGAGGAGACCCCTGACCTCAATGACCCAACCGTTATCCAGGCTTTGAATATGCAAATCACCCCAGCCAGGCTGTGAGACCCTCCCTCCCCACACACTTTTATTCTGTAGAATATTTGAATAGCCAAAGCAGCCCACACTGGCTCCCAGCCCAACACCAGCATCCCCTTCTACCCTGCCTAGAACTATATAATCATCCCTTTACTTCCTTAATGACATTGGGAACAGAAGGAAACAAAGTTAAAACAACAACAACAACAACAACAACTCTAGAAACCCCAGAATGTGTCCATGGAGACCTCTGCATGGAAATGGGGTCAACAGGACAGTAGGCCTCGGGGCCCAGCAGCCTCAAGTTCAAATCCTGGTGTAGGTTCCTGCTGATGGTGTGTCCCCAGGCAGGCTGTGTGACCCCTGCAAGCCTCGATGTCATCCTTTCTAAAATGGGAGTGTTGGGACGGGTAAGAAGCTTCGAATGGGATGTCACTAGCAAAGCACCAAGCATGCTGCTCGGCTTCCAGCAGGTGACCTTGATCACCACCACTTATTCCCACACACGGCTGATGTCTATCAGAGACGTGCTGGGGACCGAAATCCTGGAGCCACCCTTGCCTGACCCCTCTCACCACCACATCCCCTCCAGCAGCAAATCCAGAACCCGGCCCTTCTCGCCCCTTCACCGGTCCCTCCTAGGATCCTACTCTTGGGTTACTCTACACACGCACGCACTGGTCTCCCTGCTTCAGCCCGCCTCCCACAGACAACTCACAGACCAGTGGCCAGAAGGAGCTTCCGGAACGAGAGTGAAATCTTGTCACTCCTCTGTTCAACCCCTGCAGTCACTCCCTGAGCCCTTGCCCTGCACCCCCAACCCCAACTGTGCCTCCCGAAGGTCCAAAGGCACACTGCCTGTCACTGCAAAGGGGCTCGAACTGAAGGCTGGAGAGCTGCAGGCCCTCCACCACGTCCCTTAGGCCCCGGGCCTCACTTCCACGCTTGTAAAGGGGAAAACGGATTATAAGAACCTTGTGAGAATTAAACCCGATAGTGTACCTCAGGTCCTTAAAACAGTGAAGCAAAGTCAGTGCTCCCGGGATTTAGCTCTTGCTAAATCTACTGCCCCCCATTGCTCTGTGTACCTTTCGTATCTTCTCCCCTCTCTCCATGGCCCACAGCCATGACTCCGTAGAGGAGCATGTGGTCAGCCGGGCTGTCTGGGCCTCCACCCTGGCTCTGAGTCCCCCAGAGCCTCCAACCAAGATGCTCTCACCGGGGGCCTCAGTTCCCTCATCTGTAAAACAGGGATAACAGCACCACCCTGAAGGGGCCCTGGAAGGACGGAAAGTTACAATGTATACACAGCCCCCAGGAGTTAACACGGCCTCAAATAATATTAATCAGCCAGGTAGTCAACACTTTAATGGAGTGCCAACTCTATGCCAGGCACTGAGCTGGGGGGGAATAAGTAAATGAGGGGGAGTAGAGAGAGGCTCAGGCCCAAGCCCCCACCTCCCTCCCACAGCCAAAGGCACCCTCACAGGTGAGCTGAGAGCCAGAGATAAACACTGGGTTGGCCAAAGAGTCCGTTATGTTTTTTTCCGTAAAATAAAAGATGCACTTTTCATTTTCACTAATAACTTCACTGATTTGGATATTGAGTATGTCGGCTACTTCCCGCTATTGGCTTCTAGTGGGTGGAGGCCAGAGGTCCTGCTAAACATCTTCCAGAGCATAAGACAGCCCCACAGCAAAGAATTATTTGGCCAAAATGTCAATAGTGCCAAGAAATCTCACAAACCACTTCTGACACTTTCAACTAGTCACAGCACCTTCTCCATATACTGCATAAATTTTCTTTTGCATTTCAGTTGTGGTTTTACCTTTCTTGAAATAATAAAGTATAATACACCAAAAATGTTTCGTATCTTCTTCTGTCTTCAATATTAAAATGGCCGCACAAAAATTCACCAATTTTGGTAAGTTTTTAAATGCACACTGATGTGACAGCTGTCGCAATACAATCTAAGAAAATTAAACGAGAGACAACTAAGTGCTACTACAGCCATCATACATAAAAAAACGTAACGGACTTTTTGGCCAACCCAGTAAGATCATGACTTACGCCTGTCTCTGTCCATTTGGAAACAGACCCGTCAACGTAAGGATTCTAATGTACAGAGATCAGCACAGCAGCAGGGACATCGGAGAGGGGGCGCCAAGGGGTCAGTGGGAAGGTCTCTGAGTTTGGTCTGGGGTGAGGCCAGGAGCTTAGAGGGCTATGAGAAAGCTTCTGGGGGAGAGGGCATCTGAATCCAAACTTTAAAAGAAAAAAAAAAACAACAACAACAACAAAAAAAAAAAAAAAGAAGCAGGAGGTAAGTGTTCAAGGCAGGGGAACAGGCTGAGTTAAGCAGAGGCCCCACAGGGGGGCTAAGAGTGTGTGCCAGAAACTCCGCTCTAAGTGAGCCTTCCGCCTCTTTACCTTGTGCTCCAGGCCAAGGGGGGGAACAAGGTGCCCGTGGCCAGCCTCACCGGGTATCTCTTTGTTGCCCCCCCTCCAGGTGCCAGCATCTGCTATACACTTGGTTCGTCTCACTTATCTCAGTGAGAAATATAGAAAACAAGTCCGAAGGGGTGAGATGAGGTGATTGAGGTTGTGCAGACAAGCGGCTGCGCCACGACTGGAGCCCTGGTCCGGATCCCATCCCCCTGCTCCTCCGGCACCTGCTTCTGGAACTCAGGGTCCCGTGGAAGGATTTGGCAGCCCGCGTCCCTCTCTAGGGAGAGGTCAAAGGACTTTCCCGAGGTCACGCAGCTGCGAAGTGGCAGAACCCTGAACCCGGGCCACTGTGCAGCCCCCCGCCACGCTGATGCGGGGGTTCCCCACTCCCAGGCGCCAAGGCCAACGTGCAGGAGGGCATTAATAGGAAACACGCGCCCAGCCACAGCACCTCCACCTTCGATGGAACTTGCCAGCAGGAAGGCACTGGGGCCCTCAATTCTGTCTGACTCCGGCTCTGGGAGTCTTCTCCTTAACCGTCCCTGGATTCTAGCAACTTCCTGCTCAGAAGCCCCGTGGCAAGGATTGGCTCAACCATAAACATCAAGTCTCTCCCTCTCCCTCTGGCCAGGAGCTGGAAAGACATCCTCATGGCCACAAGATCGTTGGAATCAGCCACCAAAATCCAGCCAGCTCCTGATCCCGGCTTGCAGAGGTGATGTTCAGCAACCCAGGGGAGGGCACTAGCCATCAAAGGTAATTTCCATTTTGCTTCTGAAGAAAGAGAAGGAAGAACGGCGGGGTGGGGGTGGGGGGGAGCCTTGAAATCCCTTTTTTCTTCCTGTTTCTCATCTTCCCTGGGTAACTTTGTAAGATGACTTATGGCATAAATACAAACGTGGCTGAGATTCAGCATGAGGTTTCACCTTTTCTACTTCTCACGTCCTTCTCTTTGAAATAAATTTCTAGGATACAAGGACCCAGCACCAGGAAGTAGGGGAGTTTCCTTCTCATTATAGCTTCCTGCACACATTAGGCCAGTGTAGGATATTATACACAATCCCACAAAACAATTCTTGTTGCACATCAGCACTGCACATCCCTGAGAGGCAGCCATCTGCTCAGCAGCCTCAGGGACGTTGCAGCTGCGCTCACACCCTTCCTGCGGCATCAGTGTGTGTGTGTTTTCACTGGAGGACCAGGCAGCATCAGCCACTGCAGGTAGGAGTGCTAATTGGCTCCACTTTTTTTTTTTTTTTTTTTTTTAGGGCAACTTGTGAGCATCTAGTAAAACACGCATATGGTTTGATCCAATAATCACTTATATGCAGAAAGAAACACGCACAAAGATGTTCATGGAGACATCATTTGTAACAGAAAAAGAGAAAGAAAAACAACCCGGAAAACAGCTCAACTGCCCATCAGTTGGGGAAGGAGGGAGGTCAGGGAAGAGTTTTGTAAATAAATAATGAAACATACATTAAAGAACGCAACATAGCTATCGGAAAGAATGAGGACGATTTACAAGCGATTTGATCCGGAAAGATCATGAGAGAGATGAAGCTGCAAACCAGTTGTGTATAAGATTTCTAAAAGGCTGTCTGCTTATAAATCCTGGACGAGTGGCTACTTTGGGGAAGGGGGGTGGAAAAGCGGAGGAAGGATGACTTGATTTTTTTATTAACTTAAGTGGTGACAGAATGGATACGTTTTTCCTTTTTGTGTTTTTACTGTTTTCTAAACTGAGAGCTGTTTTCAAGTTTTCTTACTGGCCATTTCTCACTGGCTCTACCCAGCAAAGAGTACGAACTGGGTCCCCGCTCTGCCTTAAACGCTCAAAGTTGAGTGGTGCCGAGGGTGGGCAGCCGGGGGAGGTAACAGCATCTTTAGGCAAGTTCAGCATCAGTGAAACCTGCCGTGGTTACCGTCCCTGAGCCAATCACTCGTGCGCGCACACACCTTTGTAACAGGGTAAGTGCCTGGGGCTGGGACTACCCCTAAAAATAGTAAGCGCTCCCCGAAGAACTGTAGGTAAGCCCCCACGCAGGGACTTTAACCAGAGAGAAACAAACCAGGTACCCTTTCCATAGATAAACCCCAATTCTCAACACAGCCCTGAAGTGTAGCCCCGTGTACGGGGGAAGAAACTGAGGCTCAGACAGCTTCCTTCAATTTGCACAGGATCACACAGCTGGAATTCAAATTCAAATTAAGTTGACTGAAAAGGCCACCTGTCTCCCTTGAGCCACGGCAGGCCCCTCACCCCACCATACTCTTACAGTCTCCTTCAAAA